GGGGTACAGAAAAAATAACGTTATTCGACGTTATTATTCTTCCCAGTTTAATAACCCGAGCTAAATAAGATTTATTTGGTTTAATATCGCAAATGCGGGTTGGGAATATACTTACTAGTTGTATTCTAAGATATCCTTACTTGCTTTTATAAATGTCTTTTGATGTTTACAGATCTCTGGAACTCGATTTATTGACTTTTATCAGGTTATTTTGTTTTGTATAAAAGGATAAGGTGTAAAATTATTATATGACAGGGCTTCGTGGATAAGTTAAATATTCATACAAAATTGTAATACCTACAAGTATGAAACAGCTGATTATTTTTTCTTGAATTCAATGTTACTCTCATAGAAAAAGTTGTTCAGTATACTTAACTAATCCACCTCACGAAGCCATATAATAATATTACACCTTATATATCAAAAAATCATCTGTTCGAAGTGTTCATGTGATTTCGATGTACTAAGCTTTAGATAAGCGAGAATCCTCTACAGTATTTTTGTGCATTTTTATATGAATCTTCTTTTCAGCGGGTAGTGACCCACCGTTGGATTTATATAAATATATTTGATAACGCAGAGCCAATGCACCTTAAGCCAGGATTCTCTAACCACCCTACCCCAAAAAGGGCAGGTTAATGTGTAAGGTCTACCTGGTAAAAACCGCTGCGATTCACTTCACGCGGATAGGAAGAACCCGGTATCTTTATCCTGCAAGGAGGGCGCGGTTATATACGCCTCTCAATTATCTTTCCTACTTTTTATCGTCGGACCATCAGGCAGGTGGTCTACCAACACATCTTTTGCTCAAACGGGGTCTCCACACTTAAATTTTCCTCAACGCTCGTGGTGTAATAGACATACGTAGCCTTTTTATATCCATATAGCATTGTGAATGCAAAAAGAAAATTTAATTTATTTGGATTGCTTAAAAATAAACAGTTTTTATCAAGCTCACATTAATTCATACAATATGATTATTATTAGGTTATTAGGTTATGATCGATGGTTTTCGTTGATATTGTAATAAGTATAAGGCCTTAAGATAACCCATTACGTATACGAGATAATTTTACTATTTATTTGCTTTAATATTAAATTACTGACACCTTTTGTAATTAGAGAAAAAAATCGGCTAATTCGCAGCATTGCTTTTTTAAACCACAACGCTGTATTTGTTGTTCAGTTTTCATTTTTTTAAATTGAAACATTAATAAATTCTCTCTCTAGTTATGAGTATTTTACTGGTGATGTGTTTTTAGTTTAGTTTAGGAAGTGGCACACAAAATGGGCACCAATACCTTGGCCTTTAGTTTTCTTTTTTATATTGTTTTGGCTTAGTGTTCCAAGTTTAAAAATAAATAAAAGTTAAGAACCATGCCTGTTAAGAACAAAACCCTCACTAATTAACCGACCGCAGTTAAAGCCTTTTAGTTAAATTTAATCGGCAGTTCGCATGGAAAATGCGACCCGTGCCAACCGGGTATCGAACCGATACGGCATCGGGTCGGCCTCAACGTTAATTAAAAACCTAAGGCTACATTCCCTCTAATGTGTGATATCATCGTCGCTGATGTACACGAGCGATTTTAGAACTAAAATGCAGCGTTGAAGAATTCATTTTTGCTTTGCAGTCGCACGGATTCGAGTTAAATGTTCTTTCTGAAAAAGAGCTAGGGTTGTCATGGCACGCTTTCATGACAAATACATGTGAATATTTTGAATGTCTCTTATTATTATTATTAATGTGATAATATGTATCATATTCTTAATAATGAAGAAGAAGAAACATTTATTGACCTCAATCACACAAACAAATACATTACAAAATATGATTATAAAACATAACACTATTAATAAATAATACAATAATAACAATTACAGAGGTCAATCAGGACCTTGCCTCAGCTTGTGTTGTCGTGACATACATGTGTGCCGCGTCAAAGCTGTTATTCTGACAGGGCCTGTTCGATACACGTTAAATACCATTAAATACATTACAATCCTCGCGAAATAAATTTAAGTTTCGATTTTCAAATGAACATAGGTAGGTGCTCCACGATTTTTAATTGGTGGAAAACTATAAATATTACAGATTTACAGAACGTATAAATATAAGTAAGGAATGCGGATGTTTACAATATCATGTGATTGACTAGAAAAAAAAAAGAAAATTATTTGGGTTTGCTTTTTTGTGTTATAATAATAATGGCAGATCATTATAAAAAATCTTATAACCGAATGTTTATTACAATATTTGTTCATACACGCAAAGAAATATAGTTTAAAGCAAACGGTGGTTATCAACAGACTTCTACTGAATTTACTTTCTTTATTTTTTATACGAGGGTCAAACTGAAAGTTCTTAGAAAATCAAAAACTGATTACATTAGCCAGTTATTAGTTTTATTATATCTTTTCAAAATATTGTCCATTCACGTCAATACACCGCTGCATGCGATGGAACCACTGGGAAAAGCACTTTGCCCACTCGTCCTTAGGGGTCTCTTCAATGGCATCGCGATACGCAGCCACCGCTTCTTCAGCATTCATAAACCGCTTTCCTTTAAGTTTTTCTTTAATTTTTGGAAATAAATAAAAATCACAAGGCGCGAGGTCGGGGCTATACGGCGGGTGACCCAGTAATTCAACGTTTGATGTCGCCAAATAGTCGATCGTTCGCTTGGCGGTGTGCGACGAGGCGTTGTCGTGGTGAAGGAGGATCCTACTGCGAGGTCGTTTCTCTCGAACTTTTTCCAAGACAAGTGGCAAACAATTGGTAGTGTACCATTCTGCAGAAACTGTTTTTTGATCCTCTAACACAATTGTTGCAAAATGACCTATCCTTCCAAAGAACGAGGCCACCATTTTTTTTCCCGCACTTCGATCTCTCTTCACTTTAGTTGGCAACTCCTCGAAAGGAAACACCCACTGAGCAGATTGTCTTTTGGTTTTAGGATCATAACAGTAAATCCAGCTTTCGTCACCTGTTAGTATGTCGAACACAGCATTTGAGTCACCTCCGTTAAATCTTTCAATCATTTTACGACACCAATCCACACGATGGAGTTTTTGAGCCTCAGTCAAATTATGAGGTATCCACCGGGCGCAAAGCTTCCTGACCGCTAAATGTTCGTGGAGGATTTTGTGCACTTGACTCATACCGATGCCTAAGCTTGTCCGAATCTGTTGATAGGTCACTCTTTTGTCAGTCTCTATCATACGCCGCACAACACAGATGTTATCTTCAGTCGTCGCCGTAGAAGGCCGTCCCTCACGTAAATCATCAGTGAGATTAGTGCGACCACGTTTAAACTCATTAAACCAGTTGTAAACAGTTGCACGAGATGGGGCTTCATCGTGAAAGGCCAATCATAGTCTATCATAACTTTCTTGTTGACTTAAATGACATCGAAAGTCATAAAAAATCATTGCACGAAAATTTTCTCGTGTTAAATTCATGATGACGTGACACAGACAATTTTCAATTTGCCGCCAAATCGTAAAACAAATGACAAATGAATGAAATATATACTCAGTAATATTGGCAAAGAGTTATATTTTCAAATTTTAGAATTATTTTTTTATTATATTGTTTATAAGTGGCCAGTTCTAAGAACTTTCAGTTTGACCCTCGTAGAAAAGCAGTAACAGTTATCTTTCTTGAAAACTTTTTAACTCTTAATGATTCGCAAAAGCAACAACCCTATTTGAATCGCGTTCTCCCGAAGAAGATAGATATGAGAACACTGAATTAGATTGTACTACCTAAAAAATAAAGCGCTAATTCCCTCGTCAACATGAAGGGGAATTACTCGATTAAAGAATCCTAATCGAGCGCTCTGCCTAGATCTTTTCTCATTTAATGCCATTTTGAATTTTATTCGTTTAAGCTTAGGGTTTTGATTCGTTTGGTCGATCGCTTGATGACATAGAACAGATAATGAGATTTTTATGCTTTTCTTTTATTATCTTGATTCTAAGGGCGGGGTTATTGAATGTTATTTTTAATGTATGCGTATAAATGTGAATTATGTTAATATAATTTTGATTGTTTGTGTCCATTATATTCAACTGCCTTCAAACAGGCGTTGTGCTGTTTATTTATTGAACTTTTTATATACTTTGATCATATCGTTTTAGCCTTATATTAGTTAATTGCAACTGTAGCAATTGCAATTATTTTTAACCATCTTCAAAAAAATAAGTTATCATAATAACCTCTTCTTTTTGTGTGTCACATATGTATATTTCCCGACTACCGTGCAGCCTATTCAAACAATTATTTATTTATACTCCGTGACATTTTTTACAGTTATAAAGTGATTTTGACATTGAGTTTTCTATAGTGTTCCCATATAAATATCTCTATTTTTTGATTACAGTAGTTTTTGGTAAATATGAATTAACAATATCATATATTCGACGATAAGTACGAATTCCTTACTGTAGGTACATTGTTTTGATATTATTGTTAATTTTAATTTTCCTTATATTTGGTGCCATACATTATTTCTTTAACCGTAAAACGTCGGGGATTGTTGAATATCGCGTAACTCACAATTAAGAGCATATTAAGTAAGGTAGTATTTATTATAATTTACTTAAAATTAACTCTTATTTGCAAGTTTTAGTTACGCGTATTGCACTGTCCCGACGGTAAGCTTAATGCTCCCATTTTTCTTGTCAGATAAACGTCCTCAATGAATGATAAAGGAATGATAGTATAAATTTTTATGTAATTCAAAAGAACTTTTATGTAAAAACATAACTGATTTCCATGACTAAGTAAATAGTTAAATTTAGATACCTACTATGTTGTTATATTATTAATCTCACTATAAAAATATCCGACTCGCGTAATTTGAGATTACGTGTATGATGAATGACGCATTGCTACTTGTTTCATTCACACGCCCCCTCCCCCTTACGAATCCCGACCGCCGCGCCGTGCCTATGACTGGGCGACGAGACTATTCAAAATGGCGCTCAGTTTACGTGCGGTACGTGTGAAGGACACATTGTCGTTAATTTTTCACTGATTTCACAATTAAATACGTTGTTTAAACGCTATATTCTCGAGTGTGTTATTGTTGCTATTGATAATGGAGCCTGGTACCAGTGTCTGTTCTGAGATGAAAGAAACGATGAAGATGTTACATCGTATTTATAATAAGCTCGGTTTGAAAAAGAAACAGACCATTGAGTCATACAAAAAACATTATGGCGACGGTTTCAGTAATAGTGTGTTGTATGCGTCGATACTTACAGGTCTGCATCCATGTGTTTTATTGAAGATAAAGGATGGATCCGTTAATCCCAGTAAAACTGAATACTCACCATCTTTATGTATAGATCGAGCAGATATACTTGGCGAATTAAAAATCTTCTATTTCGTTAAACAAATCATGCCGACAACTAGACAGTTGTATGATGCATTACAAGAAAAGCTACCTCCATATATGGACATAGCTTCTTTTAGGAAACAGCTTGCTTTCATGGATTTCATGTGGAGACATATATCACAGAGATTCTACGTTATAGAGAGACCCGAAGTTGTTTACGAAAGATATAAATATCTGAAGTGTATAATTGAATACCACGATCAGAACAAGCCAATATATTTTATAGACGAAATGGCGTTCAAAAAGGTAATTGTCAATAATAAATGTACATCTTATCATGTGTCTAACGATGTCAACTATCCTGGTACTGAAGTGAAGATAGTATACGCTGCATCTAAACACGGTATTATGTTTAACTGTGTTGAAAATTTCAATGGAAAAGAGTTGGGATATTTTTTATGTGATACTATTATGCCAAATCTAGCTGAAAACAGTTTGATAGTTATGAAGAACACAAAGCATCATTGCGATCAGTTAATAAAATCTAAACCGAGCTTAGACAGTTTGATATGTGATTTGAAGGAATGGCTCGATCTCCGTGAAATACCTTATGATGAGAACATGTGCAAAGCTGAATTATATGCTTTGGTGGAGAAATGCACTGACAAAGATAATAATTTTTATGTAGCCGATAATATATTTACGGCACGTGGTCACACAGTTATTAGAATACCGGATCATATAGAAAATTTGACACCAACCAATTTAATTTTCAATGTGGTGCAAACATCTCATGTACCGAAGCCCTTTGAAGGTGCACAGTTGCGAAATATTGCTATACAGTTTTTTGAAAGTTTCGACGAGAATCATTTGGAGAGTTACTTCGATATCGTAATGAAGGAGAACATAAAACTCTTTAATGACGATGTTAAAATCGATGATATGTTGGATTCTTTAGTTACAAAGATGGCTGGAGTTACTTTTGATGGAGAAGAGGATTCCGATATACCATCAGACAGCGAATCTGACGTGGAATCATAATAAATGCCTGCTTCATTTTTTAATATATTCTCGTTTAATTTTGTTCTGTTTAAACAATAAATAAAATTATTTCTTTTATAAAAAGAACTTCTATTTTATCCTTCTTGAGTTCCTTACGACTAATAATTCAATAACATTAAAGTATCTCATTGTTTTTCTACATCATTGATAATCACCGTTATATCATACTCAAGTCAATTGACGCATGAATTAATTATACATTAATCCCCTTATCAAGTACTCCGTATAATTAAGAGAAAATAAGTTCGGTAGCTATTCCGAGGACTAACTTTACTACCGGGTTTAAACCATCATCCGATCAAAATAAGCAAACGTGTCTCAATTTGACATTTTCTCTTCTGTAATTGACAATTTACTTTAAACCAAGTACTTATTCTGGTCCTCATTGTATAGTAAGATGTAGGCTTAGATTGGTTAAAGATTTTTAAGAGGCAGATAGGCGGAGTTTTCACAATCGTTCCAATCTAATACCGTTCTGAATGCAAATGCAATTTGTTGAAACTGGGACTAGTCTGCGTCAATATAATTTCCACTAATATAGGTACTTCTGTAATTCAAAACTTCAAAAACCGGTCTTGCATGAAATTTGGCTCACACCAAAATCACTGACTTATTTTTACTACGTTTTGTACAAAGAAATAACGTTCAGTTACGCTGTAATTCGAAATGAGAATACTTCATCATATTTCGAAGGGTTCTGTCACACCAAAAATGTGGATTTATAAATTTTCCCCATATAAAAAAAACATGCGACGTTGGGTAATATGCGAGTCACTTTTTAGCTGAAGTTTGCAGCACTTTAAAAATAATCGTAATAGTTAGCGAGTGTTTGTTTTAAAAATGCACATTTCGAGTAGCTCGGTGGCGGAGTGGATAAGTTGTTATTAAGCGACTTTCGCAAGGAGTCGGTTACGGGATGGGTGACCTAAAATTTAATATCTCGAGTTACTCCGTATTTCGGAAGGCACGTTAAGCCATTGTTTTCGGCTGCATTTGTAGTCATTTATATCCTTCAATCCGCATAAGGCCAGCGTGGACGGTCATAGCCCATCCTCTTTAAGTATACACGAGGAAGGTCTGAGAATGATGATATTACGCACTTCCTTTACCTCTGTTTAGCTCATAATTGGGCCCAATGAAATAGACAGTCTTTTGGTTTTACGTTCTCTCGTAAATTCTAGCAAAAGACTACTAGAGCAGAAGACAACTTTATTTTATTTGTTACCAGCGGCTTCGCCCTTGTGGTTTTGCATGATAACTTGACATTTATCCCTAGGCAACCGTTTAATGGGGCAAAAATAGCCTATGTTTTAATACCAAATTTCAACAAAATCCGTTCAGTAGTTTATGTCTGAAAGAGTAACAAATGTATTTCCATTTCACAAACATTCACATTTATCCTGTAAAAAGAATTTGGGCAATAAAAATTGTTCCAATTTTTATGTCAGAATAATTAGTCAACTTAATTATGTTTATTATAAATATTAATAATATTTATTTTTAAACAAAATGTAATATTATTATTATTCTAAATATTTAGTTACACGCTGTCTAGATATATTGACCGCTATAAATAAAAGGAAAGGAAACATACCTAATATTAAACAAATCGTCTGTTTCTAATGATATCGATACATCTGAAGTTAAGAATTACATCTGAATTAATATCGGCTATTTATCGTGGTCCTATGATAGAGAGACGAACGGACGGGCGAACTGTTTTTGTCTCCCTCGCTCCTATGATTGTCGCTGTCTGTCTCTATCGCACGCACGCCATTATGCATGCTCTTACGCACTTCGGCGTCCTTTTTGGACCATCTCTCAACTGGTTTGAGAGCGCAGTGTATTTATTGAAGCTCGTGTTATGGGGTTTGTGTTTTTATTTTATAATAACTAGTAAGTATATTTTTTTTAGATATCAACTATGTATTGGGATGCATAAATATATTTATATTAAATAATTTCACCCTAGCGAGGTTCTTCAACTGCATGTCTCTTTATTTTGTGAGATACCAGTTAGGAACTAATAAAAAGCTTTTTAGTTTTTAAACATTGAGTAAATATTATTTACGTTAATATCAATGGACAAAACAAACTGCGGCTGTTCAGCAACTTCCACAAGGGCTGGGCATAGGATAATTCCAAAGGAGGAATGGGTTGATAATGTTCAACTAAAATAACATTTATCACTTAATACTTAAAATTTCTAATCTGTTCCGAATTGGAATAATATTCATACGTCTAATGCACTTATAATTGAATTTTAACCAATTAATTTATTATTTTATACAATTACATTTATTCTATATAAATCTGTTCGATTTAATAAATATATGAAATATTATAAATTGAATCCAACATTTACAATGACAATATGTGTTAGTTCTATACGAGAATATGACATCTGCAAGAGAATAATTCAAAATTTCGAATTAAGAAGAAATCTTTAACGGAAATTTACTACCAGCAAAAAGTTTGGATATAGATAGGTACCTATCAAAGTAAGCAAAGAGATCGGCGTCGTTGATGATACCGCACCGTTCCACACAGTCTATGGTCCTACATTATCAATCTTTATGATAAATTTCATACGTCGTCGGTCATTCGAAAATAGCATCTGTTTACATTATATTTGGAGTCATTCGAAGCTTACATTGTAATATTCTCTATTAGATAAGGCGCTAAAACCAACAATGACCGTCCTTCAATATGTACCTACTGATGGAATATTGATACTGTTAGGTTTACCTTTCATTGGAACTGGGACCCTTGGAAGTTTATTGTGTTGGGATCTTATAGATTTATGGAGGTCGACGTTATAGTAATTTGTTGGCATCATGTTGTATAACAGGTCTAATTTTCAATACTGAAAGATTAACTTACAGTTTTTTTTTTCTATGGAAAAATGAAATTATATAATATATGATAATTAATTTATTTGTACCCAATACACTTTTATATTATTCTTATCGCATCTAAACCAATAATTACTGACTTTAAATTTATTTATGAATATTATTTGATGAGTAAGTTGATTTCGAACAAATATAGTTCCAATAAGCTGAAATTTAAAATGTGTAAACTAGATAGATATAGAATCTTTATAGTGACACTCGGTTGTCTGTCTATCTGTTCACGCGTCTGACATTTTCTTTGACACTTCTTTTTTCCGATGTTTCTATTAGCAAGTAAGACAGATGGACAAACATACACGGACAGACAGACGGACGGACATTGGAGTACGACACGGGTATTAAAGCCTAAAATGATTCGCAAATATGTTAGTAGCTAATAAAGTAGCCGTATTTTTTTGAAAGAATTCTCAAAATCGATCCAGTACTTTTCCAGTCCATCAATTACAAACAAACAAAAAATAATATCTCCTTTATTATAGAGATATTTTAAGTGACTAAAAATAAAACTGTTTCCCCTACTTCGAATAAATTTAAATGCTGTGCGACAGGATATTGCTCATCCTTAGACAAACTTCCTTACATTTCCTGATCGAAAATGCGTAAATAAACATGTTATAAGTTAGTTCATAACTAAAAAAATATTACTCGTAACAGCCAGTTGCAGAAACGTTCATTAAAACTGACATTAGTTTAAAATAGTAGCGACACAAATTTGCAATTTAAACATTCATTAGAGCTTTAAAGTCGTCATTAAAACTAAGCGAATGTCAAACCCATAAATTACACAGATTTCAAAATAATGTTGCTAAAGCAAAATATTTGACACAACAAATATACCACAACACCCAGAGTCTAAACAATACTTAGAGAAAAGTCCAATTTATATATTGACCCGATCGGGAATCGAAATCGGTGTCACCGGGTTCCTAGATGGAGTCTCCTTGAAACCGGCAATGAACAGCCTTGGAACATTAATAAAAGTGAGAAGTTATATTTAGCATAAAAGAAATTTAATTATTTATGAAACTCCTATTGAAGTCGAGCGGAAGTTTTCTGCAAGTAACTTAAGTGATAACCGCCCGACTTTAATAGCAGTTTCTATGGTACTAAATAAAGAAATAAGCAACGAACAGTACGTCCTCGTTTTTGAAGTTTATTAAAAATATAAAATTGGATATGCGATTAAATCACTTTTGGAACACGATTGATAGTTTTAAAGGCTCATTTACATGCGCGGTACGGGAGATTTCTGTGGCTCTTTTCATTGGTCGTTAGTCGGTAAACCAACGACGGACCAATGAAAAGAACTCAAAGAAAACGCCCGCGCCCCCAAGTGTATGTGCACTCTTATCTTTATTTATCTACAAAATATGCAGAAGCGAGAGCTAAGTAACTATATAACTTACCCTCTTATAACAGCTTAGAACCTATAATTATAAAACATGTATTTTAACATATCAATGTCCTCGCTATTCTGTCTCCCGCCTCGCGTCTTTCCCTTCCCTTTCAACAATAGTCTGCTGCTGACGTCACGTGTCGACGACTGACGGATGCTATGCCCCGCACCTCGCGCCCCCCAGTTCAGTTTTGCGATAGCGACAGTAGTAGAAGCACGTCGCTCGTTCTGAACCTCGAGATTACATTACGCAGGTACGCTGACGCCATTTTGTTTTTAATACTTTAAATCTAAATCTTTTGGATGTATTAATGAAACGTATTGAGATTTATCCAATTTCAAAAACATAATGCTGCTGTTTAACCAATTCAATTTGTAACTGTGAAATTTCATGAACGAGATATTTACCTTTTTAGAATGTAACTTATTAATATGTTTTCAGCGCTCTGCAAGTTCAGACTTTGGTTCAGCCCTTGTTTAATCCAGTGAAACAGTATTTAAGTATTCACTTTAATTCCCCGCTAAAACTTATGTTTTTAAATCGATATGCATCTACTTTTTTCTTGTGATAAACAAATTAAATGTCAATGAAAATACCTTCGATTGATCGAAGGAAAAAACCCACAACACCATAAAAAGTTTTAGATATTTTAGCTGCCAAATTACAACTCTGATGATGTTTTTGGGAGAGACCTTCACGAGTACCTACTGGATAAATTTAAGCTTGTACAAGAACGGATAGATTTATTATGTATACCTACGTAGAGTATGAAGTTAGTTAATGCATATTAGTAGTATGTATTAATATTTTAATAATATATTTGTAATAGGATTATATTTTATAATTATTTTGTTAATGTTGGCCCACTACCACATCCTTCAGACAGGTGTCCTCTAACACAGGGGTCGTCTGGAAGAGATCGCTTTTAGCGATAAGACCGCCTTTGCCCACTAGAATTAAGAAATTTATTGTAAACTTGTCATTTGTGTGTGAGCAATAAAGAGTTCATCTACCTATTTATCTATCTACAACTGATTGGTGCAGTAGCTTTATGACCGCTATAATTTGCAAAATCTTTTCATCGTGACAATGTATCGCATATGCGTTGTCTCGCTCCATTTGCTCGATGTAATAGCTGCGTCCTTGTCAGTACGGTTTCGCAGTCAACTGCGAAAAAATTTATAGGCGGACATGTTTCGCATTCAGGGTTGCCACACGTCCCGATTTCTGATAAATATCTTTTAGTTTCTCATAAGGTGACAATCCTGGTCGCATTCGCGTAGTTTTCATATTCGCATGTGATTATGTCGGTGTAGTAACGATGTTACACACTGCTGCACGTCACACTACCACAATATGTAAAATTGTATCTTCAATGAATTAAGGTTCAAAATTATGTTGAGAAATTGACGGCTATTGTATAGCTGACGTACTGTTGATTGTACATAAATATTAAAATTCTGCATTATATATGTGTTGTACCTATTGTGGTGTATTCCCGTTCCTGCAGGTCTTCCGCTTTATTTCTTGCAGAAACTATGCCTCGTTTTATCCAAATAAAACACTTTAGGTGTTTATCTACGAAGACGTTTTATTGAATTAGAAAAACAATAACATATGACATTGTCATTAAAATTTGAATATTATTATCTATTTATTATTTAGTGAAATGAGGTTTGATTCACAACACCTATTTATATTGTTTATTTCGAAACAACCTCGAAGAATTAAGTGTCATGGAGGATGCACTATTCTTTTTTTTTTCAAGGAATATTTGTACATATGTATGTATGTATCTAGATTTTTATTTCAGTAAAGGAGCGCATTTTATTTTTAACAAGATGCTTGATGTTTTGATAGTATAGTATAGTAGGTACTATAAATAAATAAAAACTAAATGATATTAGAACTAAGTAATGTTCATTCAATTGCATTTTGGTACCTACGTAAGTATTTTAATAACTATTATTTCTAATATTTGTTTTCAGATAAAGAAAATCCATGAGTACAATGAAATCTAGTGAGAATGCTAAGGACATGGACGTTAAAGTAAATGATATAAAAACTAAAATAGCGATTGCCACGAGAGTTTTAAAAAATTGCGAGAAAAACAAAGAAGACAAAAATACTTCTCTAAATATCGATGCATCTTTTGAGAGATATACTAATCTCAATAAACTCGAAAAAGGTCATAGTTCGCGTCGAGGACCGATTACATTTGAAGAGCTCTTGCATTTCAGGGATGCACATCACACTATCCCGAACGATTTGCCTGTATCAAAAATTCGCAAAACACTCAACCATTTTTATTTGAATAAAAGAACAATACCAACATCAGAGATTTTTAAAATTCTACAAGACGATAAAGAAACTAAATGTAATGTTTTGAATCGTCGTAATCAAAAACATATCACATTGAAAACCTTACCTGGAACGTCAAGTGGAATATTTGTGGAAAACCCTGAGCAGTTTCATCGTAGAATGCTTTATTTAAAAAAAATGGAACAAATCCGCAAAGATAGAGGACACATTGTATATGTAAAATCATTCACGCCTTTTGCCAACCCCTTAATTTATAACAGGAAACAGGATAACCAGGAAACTTTACTCGTTGCTGTTTCAAATCAATTAGGTCTATTGAACACATTTTTTTATGAGGCCAACGCCAATAATTATAATAAAATGATTTTGAAATCGATTTCTTCCATAACCGATCCATGCGTTGTGGTAACAGAAGAGGAAGAGGAGCTAGATATACCTAATTTGTCAAGCTCCAAAGCTGAAATAAGCGGATGGCTAGCAGCAAAAGGTTATCACGTATCATCAAACGCACATCGTGGTGAAATGTACGATTTGATAAAGAAAATAAAATCGTTCGGTGATCTTGAAGTTTCCAAGACAGATGAGGTCATTAAAAGTCTTGGACATCAGGTGATGAAATGTCCAAGAAATATGGAAGAGCTTGAATATTTCCAAAATCTTTTTAAAGATTTCACAGATTTTGAAGATATCGAAAAGGATAATATATCATTTAACGTTAAAACGAGATTGAAAAAAAAACAATTGATGTTAAAGTTCATAAGAGATTTAGAATTTAACGATTGGCAAAACTATGAACAGCTATTGATAGATAATTCTTGGCGCGTGCTCGAGGAAGACCTGATGATGGAAAAAATAATTGATAATTTGTCCATGATGTACGCGGACGATTGTTCCCATGAGTTTTTATTGATAGATATACCCGATTGGAATAAAGTAGCATCGAAAATTATAATGGAATAATAAGTAATTCATGCCTTTTTAAGTAAACTATTATATTGAAATATTGTTTTTTTCTTATATAAATTAATTCGTTTATAATATGATGAAATGTAAATTGAAAGGGTAGATTATAATACCTATACCTATAATGATGATTTCTCACTCCTCATATTATTACTCTTTCAAGATACTGTAAAAGTTTCTTTAGTTATTATATGACACTATTCCAACAGATGAGACTAAAATGAAACTCGTTAACTCTTTAGTAGGTAATATAATATGTACCGGGGCCTATCATATCCTATCCCTAGGATACCGGGTTCTTCCTATCCGCGCGAGGTGAATCGCAGCGAGTTTTACCAGATAGGACTTCTATACTAAACTGTCCTTTTCAGGGCGGGGTGGAAGGGGAGCTCTGGTTTAAGTCTTAAGGTGCATTTCCTCTGCGTTATAAAAAAAGGTTATATAGTCTTTGTTAATATGTATTATATTCGTTGTATGCGCCATGCATACTGGTGCGTGGACACGAGAAGAAAAGAGAGATAAAACCCGCCTCTTTATTTGACATCTCGCTCGCCTCGTTTTCAGCCTCTGTCCTATTATGCCAACGAGTCACAGAGCATAGACACTTTTACACTAGACGATCTATCTAACCATAAACCAAAATCAGATATCATCATTCAAAACGGCATCCAAATCGAAAATGATCACTGCAAGCCTAAATTAAACGGCCAACAAGACAAAATTCTATGTTCTCAGTCTTATTGTGGAATTTATTCATGCAACCCAATGTGTGAAAACCAACCCTAGGTGACGCAATGCTCTATCTATAGTATAATTAATTATATCCGTTTGGTTTTTATATTTAATTATTAGTTAGTCTATCTCCTAGAGTGCCAACATAATTTCGCAATATCAACCTGTTATCTGAAATATCTGTCAAAATAACAAGAAGCGATATTATAAGCCTAACTACAAACCTTTACGGATTATGAAACAGACGTGCGAGGGACGTACAAACAGCGGAAAAAAGTTGTCACTCATTTTACTTTACCCCAGTCTTCTGAGCCCATTAATACAAATTATTAAACTAATATTCTTGTCAAACGCAAGGTCGATTCGAAGTCACTCTACTAAAGCGTATAAAAAAAATTGTGGTCACCCATATTTAAATTGTCTTTTTGGAAAGTTGCTTAGCATCCATTATTGCTGATGAATCCCGCTGACTATAGATATAGCTTTGTTTATGTTTTAACGACTCCTTTATGATGTCATCCTCGGTCCCTTCACCCACAAGGTCAGAGGGTGCGGTGCAACCTCAAGTAAACCTTACAATCATTGTAATTACATGTTGGAACGTGGGAAAAATTCCTATTGGTCTAGTCATTTTAATAAGGATTTATATTAAACAGATTAATATTTTTTCCTACTGTTTCGCCTAATATAACATTAAATATGTTATTCGAATTTTATCTATTTGAGTAAGTGAATTAATTGTCTTACATCTGAAAAAGTACTCCTATCACTCAGACCTGAAACAGCATAAACGGTCGACAAACGAATTTGAAATTCCAGGGGTAACTATGATCATCACCTTAAAATAATTGAAAAACAATATTTTTTGAAACTAAGTCATTTTAATTTTCACGTCCAGATGGCGTTTTAGCGAATTAAATCGCGATAGTAAAATATTATATACAAAATTTGAATTGAAACATTCCCGTTCCGACGAATTCAGGGGTTTTGTACCGAAATTGTACAATGCTCCTTTTTCAAATATACACATAAGTAACAGGTTAAATCAAATACCTGTTACAGCTGTTCTTGTTATCTTAATTTAACAGTTCCGAAAACCTGTTATAAAAAAACAGCCTGTTATTTTCTAACTACAATCAAAATTAGTATAGCTAAGGCCTAGTAAAAACAATCCAAAACTTTCCTTCATGCTTATCAGGCTTAGGACTGTCAGTTTGTCAAGATAGATAATGCATTCTATTTTTCTGTTTAGCACGCGTAGCATGACAAACTCGAGAAACGCTTTGTCTAGACTCGTTTGTCAGTTTCTTGGGTCGAGAGTGAGATATCGTATAGGCGCACCCGAGAAAAGTGACATTTGAGAGTAGACAAAACGTTCTCGCGTTCGTCATGCTACGCGTGCTGGTGTCATGTGGTGAAGATTTGTGTTTTGCTGTGCAATACACATTACCTATATGATTATATTTTTATTTCCTCTGTAGTATAGTCCATAATATATTATTAATTATATTTAAGGGCATAACAAACTGGCGCATTTAAAAGTTTGGAATTGATTGTATGTACATGATTTGATATTTACAGTAGAATATGTACATATTTACAAGTTTAAACTTATCTAATATTTACAAATTCTGGTGCAGAAAAAGCAGGTGTTGCAATTTTCTGACCCCGAGGCGTGTTCGCCTGTCATTCATTAGGTACCCTGCTGCGGAGAATACCCGTTCACAGGGTACAGATGACGCCATGGCATTCATTTTTGTCACCGCGATTTTATACAGGTTTGGGTAGACAAATCTGTGGGCTCTCCACCAAGCCATAGGGCATTCCGTCCGGGGTATAATTTTATCTTCCAAGTAACGTTGGACCTCCACTATGGCTCGTGACTGGGCTGTTCCTTCAGGTTGGATGTCCTGCATTTTCAAATCATAATCCTCCCAGATCGATTTTGTCGTCGAAGGTGTTGGCTGGTTGCATTCGGTTACTGGTGGTTGCTGAGTGACCTGTGTAGAATGGTAAGAGGCGACGAGCGATATCATGCGTTTCTTTGTTTCATCTGCCACGCGCTGATCTTCAAAATAAAATTTGAAGCGAGGGTCCAGGAACATGCAGTTTCCAAAAGTCTTACTGCGGTCTAGGTTAGCAAATCTTGACTTTAAATTGCCTATGAGGTCCTGTCGCAATGTATCTACCGTGGGCATAAGGATATTCGGTATCCGTTCCAGTGCTTTTGTGAGCCCCGTGGTGATTGGAATTACCAGGCTACCGGTAATGTATTTTTGACCACTCAACTCACGAGTGACCTCCTCGCAAGGCTGGAGAACCAAACACATTTCTTCACAAATCGTCCATTCATACGGGGTCAACGTTTCCATATTCAAATTGATCATGGCACTGTTCAGTGGCTCTCTTAATGAAACTATTCTTTTAAGCATATTAAAGGTCGAGTTCCACCTGCTTGGAACCTCCTGAATGAGCCGCTTCGGTGTCATGCCAGCCTGTTCCTGGTATTTCTTTAATTTTTCCCAGGCTACGTTGCTCTGCTTGAAGTGGCGAACGATTTGTTTTATTTTATTTAAAATGTCATTTAAATCGTCTCTTATTAGAGCATCTTTCACTGCCAGGTTCAAGGTATGGGTATAACACGAGAAGTTCTTCCAACCAAGTTCTCTTTCTAGAGCACATTTGATGTTGGCGCCACTATCGGATACCGCCAATAATATTTTATTTGTCACACCCCAATCGTCACACACTCCTTTTATAATCTTTGCTAAATATTTAGCAGTGTGGCTTTCCAAAAGTGGTACGCAATCAAATAATATAGATTTTAGCTCGAAACTATCTTCCTTGATGTAGTGGCCTGTCACTGCCATCATGGAGTCATTGTTGGTTGTGGACCAAATATCTACTGTTATGCATATGGACTCTACTTCTTGGCTTATTTGCTCCTTCATCTCCGTTTTAACCTTTTCGTAGATCGCAGGCAACATATTATTGGCAAAATATTTTCTCGAAGGTATAGTGTAGTTCGGAAATGCAAAGGAAATAAGTTCCCGAAACCCACGATCTTCTACCATTCGAAAGGGCTGATATTCCATGATAAAAAGATTCATAATTTTTCTATCGATATCGGCTTTTGCGGTATTTATTCGTCTTGGCATAAAATTAGAAATAGGCTGATGGCCATACGTTCTTCTTACCGTTGTCGTCGTTAACACGCTTGCCTGCTGCGCTTCCTGTTGTGAAGAACCTTGTGCTGGTGGCTGACCTGCCGCTGGTGGTACTAGCTGAGACGTCTCTGAAGTTAAATTCTGGCCAGTGGTATTAATTTGCCGGCTGGAGCTTGCTACGTTGTCACTTTCTGCACCTCGGCTCACTACTCTAACCGTAGAATGTTTCCTCTCAACATGCTTTTTTAAATTTGTCACAGATGATTTATAACACAGTTTTGTTTTGCATATATTACAAGTTGCATAAAAACCACCAATGTCTGTGAAATGGTCCCACACAATACTTTTTTTATTTACACTAGCCATTCTTATTTAGTCCTATGTCCTATCAAAACTATTGAATAATAAACACAACTAAACTATACATCTACAATACTATCACTAATATATTATTTACACTGTATTTAAAGGTATATACAATACTTTAGAAAACTTTTCCGCAGAAAAACAAACAAACCAAACTTTTAAATCTTCCGCAACGAAAAGTTTAAATCAGTAAAAAAACAACCGTTCAAATGTCAAAAATACGATTAATCATTATCAAGCAACTATGCTCTTTATTTGTACCGACATAAGTTTGACAATTACGCTTTAATCATAACTACCAATCAGGTCAAAGAAGTAAACTTTCTTGTCATTTGTTTAAAAAGCCTTTGCTGCTATCAGAATAAAGTCTAAAATCCCAAGTAATGCATTGATCGATGACAGCAGACGCCGTGTTCGGATACTTGTATAATAAAATTAAATATACTTGCTTTATCAATTTTCCATTTTTAAACCACGCATTATTGAATTTATTTTTGTATAAATATATTTAAAATGATCGTATTTGAATGAAAACAATCTATCATTCATAAAATAATTTAATAACTATTCAATTTTTTCCCGTGTGTTTGTTTCAATAACAAAAGTTTATGTGTAATGTATCCGAACGTATTCCTACGCCTAAATTATACAACAAATTTTAGGAGTCTATCTACTGTCATTATCATGGAGTAAAGAAATGTCAATACAAATTTCATGTATTATAAAATACTAGTCACCATCTCTTTTTACTGCCTTATAACCTGTATGAGAGAATGAGAGAGAAATAGACGAATAACATTAGTTGATACAACGAAGCAAAATTAAGGAGACACAAAGTTGGCTT